AATTACTCTCACTAAACAGTGTGTGTTATATGCATCCTCTGCTACCCTAACCCAACCTAATGTTGCTTAAAGGCAATGAAACAACATCATACAGTGCCCAATATGGTCAAATCTTTGTTCAAGCACTTGCCAAGTGGGGGGATTTTTCTAACCTCTCTACTCTCCTTTTCCCAAACTATACAATAGGTCCAATGATATTATCGATCTTAGCAATATGATTAAGGATTAAACGGCGTAACGCATGTAGAATGTTTAACTGCAGTGCCTGAAATACAGTAGATGCTCATTGATAGCAACTATATTTCATTGTTAATAAAAGAGACAAATTTCTTTCAGCTGCTTTGATTTAAGAAGACAATACCATTTCCAGACATCTCTTTCCTGGGGCTAACTATATTAGTATTCTGCCCCATGGGAAGGAAGAAACTTCATGGGCAATAAATAGTCAATTTAGAAGCAGGAGGAATATGAGGTAAGCTAAAATGTTACCCCCTGCTGGCTTTTTGAAATGCAGATTCATCAATCTCTTTGATGTCCCTAGCCACTTCCAGTGAACATCTTTCAGCATATTATTTGCTTTCTTAACCACATCACTTTTCACTGAGTTCAACATTCCTGGAGGATTCAAAGGATCTTGGTACATTCCTCCAAAATGAATTCAGAAGGTAAGTGGAAAGAAAGGGGAAAATATCTTTGAATAGGATCCAGGTTCAGACTGGGGGTGGAAGGAGGTCGTGGGGAGGGGAGGGGGTGGAACTTTGTGACTCAAAGGTTAACAGGGAGTTCAGCTTCAGGATTTCCGTGTGCCAGTCTACTCTGTCAGTGCCCTGAGGACGAACTGCAACCAAGCAACCCACCCAACTCCTTTGTCTAAATAAGTGGACACGATGGCATCCAGCTTCCTGAAGGGGAAATGGAGGGACCACACAGGGAACCAGAGGGTCTCCTTGGGAAAGCGGGAATTAAAGTGCTCATCACTTTCAGGCTTCCCTTAATCTCCTTTGCTGTTTTAGGGAGTCCACATTCATAGTGGAATATTTTCCCTTTTAAAGGTAAGCACCTCGAATAATGCATTTTCAAGTTTATAATCAAATCCCAGTGAGCAGGCTCACTGTGCCCTGGCCACTTCAGCCCACTGCATCTTGGGCTGCACTTTCACTACTTGCTCCAGTAAGAGAGAACACTCATACATACAACGGGTTCCGTGAAGGGGCGGCAAGGAACAGTAGACACCTAGGATTCACGGTCAGCGGGTTTCCCACGCTCAGGAAAGCTGCCCAGGGCAGGTGGAGTCTCGTCTGTGTGTGCCTCACTTGCACCACAGATGAAGGACCCTAGAAAGCAACCCTCTCTGGGTTTTCTACTCCAGGGATGACATGACCTGCTGGATTTATGTGCTGAAGGACATCCTGTTTCTAGCGGGGACTGGAACAGAGCCTAGGCCTTATCTCAGGATGTTGCGTTCCCAGCACATTCTAGTTATTCTTAAGATCTACAAGTGAGAAAGGGGGAGAACTGGGTTGGTCCAAGGCCATCTGGAGATGCAAAATATCACTCACCAGGGCTCCTCTTAATACCTTTCTCTAATCCTGGGCTGGCAACAGTGAAGTATACTTCTTTGTTCAAGAGTCTGTCTTCTTACCAAATTGCACACTTCTTAAGGACAGAAGCTGACTTTTTTATTTTTGTATCCCAAGCAGGGCAGAAATGGACATCAGATATTACACGCTGGCATCCTTAACTACATTAAATCTTTCTTTCAAAAAACCATACTGTATGCTGGAGGGCAGAAAGCTAACAACATGAAGCACTGTTACATAGACTCCCTGAGAGTCAAGCTGCATCTTGAATCAACTTCTCCAAATAGACTCACCCACGTGAGAGCTGAAAAACACAGTATCACGAGGCAGGGCCATGCTCCTGCTGACAAACAAGCACAGTCATGAACACACTTGGCTGTTCTGCAGCAGCTGGAGTCTCAGTTTCCAGGGTCTAGCTACATGGGCGTCAGCCTAGAGCCTGGGCTTCCAGCCCTTCTATTTTTTAAGCACCTAATTACTCCTATTAAGTAGCTTTCTGATGAAATTAGTTCAACTGGTTTTTGTTATCTGCAGCTGAACTCTAATTTGGTGCTCATCAAATGTTTGTCGAATGAATGCACTGGGTAAACATTGGTTCCACCCACAAAGTCCACCTTAAATCACTTACTCACACCTGGGCTCCTGAAACTACCTGTTGATTCTCAAAGGGGATGATTCATTAACAAGAAAAGTTGCCCAGAAATGCCTCCAGTAGAATTCTACGATGCAGTAAAAAGGAAAAAAAAAAATCACTGTAAAATACCACTTGGAAAAAGAGGTGGCTTTTTTTCTTACATTTTACCATTATCTAGAAAACTCATGAAGTGGCTTATTTTTGTCCCTTAGTTCCAATTAAAATCGAGTATTTCTGTGTTTTCTAAATGACCACAAAACTATAGGTAAGAAAAGATTGTTAAAGGTTTACAGTCTGAAATAAATGGTTTGTGTGAAGTTGGGGAACTAGCAGAATTATTAGAGTGAACAATTCTTTCAATCTTCAGATTTGGGTCAAAGACTTGACCTTTGAGAACATACATTTAAATGCTATTTATTCCTGTGAATCCCATAAAAGGTCTAGAGCTTCACTGGATGAATTTAAGGCTTAGTGAGTAAGTATCAAGCTGAGCACTCTGGGGCAAGGCCTGACTCCTAACATTGAAATGAGCAAGGAAGCAAAGAGCTCTCCTCTGAATTTCTTACATGCAAGAACAGCAGTTGGACTCCCCAAGCTAAGGCATTTCCGTGAAATTATTGTCTTCTTACTGAAGCTTCCTGGCCTAAGACTTATGCCTCTCTACCTGAAAAATGCCTTCTCTTTCAGCAATGCTGTGATTTTTCAGTTCCTAAGGCTGAATGATCAGCACTACTCCAGTTTAGTTAAGGATTAACTTGGCTAGCTCAGGTGTTTCTATAATGGATCCATGTGTTGACTGACAAGAAGAGGTGCCACCTAAAAGAAGATTGGAAGAGTGCTGGCTTGCCTTACAGGAGAAGGAAAGATTAGTCAGCCCTTTTTGCAATCATGAAATAATCAGCTGTGTTCTTAGGAGACTTCACTCTGTTGCAACAGAACGTGATGCTGTACTGGAAAAAATTATAAAGTAGAGTCCTGGGCCTGGTGTCCAGCTTGTCTGGACCCCATGTCCCCTCAGGATGGGAGAAAGCATTTATTCCTTCTCTCACTGTTTGCTACAACAGATGCCAATGAGCATGTACATGCACCACGCTCTGCGTGGTAGGCACTGGATATTCCTGGGTGAACAGAACGTGCATAGTCATTGATATCATGGCAATCACAATCAAGTAGGGTGGAGCAGACAATAAACAAAATAAACACACAGATGAAACTGCAAATCCTGCAAGGTCTTACCTGATGCCTGAAATAAATACTCCCACTAAAAATCTCTTAGACAGTAAGGAGATTTTTAGTGGGAATATTTATCTAATACTAAGACATGCAGTGGTTCCAGGTCCAGCAACTCAGTGATGTCACTAAGGACCAAGAACTTTCCATCTTTTCACGTTCCATCTTCAGCATGCTGAAACTTTCTAATTCAGTGGTTTTTTGAGATATTTTTCTAAAGACAGTTTCTTCTCTACAAGAAAATTAACAGCAGCTGATAGATAAAATTCACCATTAAGTTATTTACAGAAAATTGTTATCAGCCTGCACTTAACTTGCATCTCTTTGATGGGCTTAGTGTACAATGTTATCTTCTTAATGTTAGTTACAGTGAAGGATCAGTGACACTTCCCACATTCAAAGCATTTGCGACATCTGTTCTCATACAACTTGCTCAAATAATGCTGTCTACACAGTCTGCACCAGAATGCAATCTTGTGAAGAGAACTAGCCCCAGCCCTTGTCTCCACTCCTTTTCATTCTGCCCCTAACGCCATCTCCTATTACAAGATGCCTCACACACAGACACAGGAACATGCTAGGCCATACACTCACACTCCAGTCACAGAAAATACAAGATCAGCTGTAGTCACTGGTGTGCTTTGGGGTGCTCATACCAGTGTGCTGTCTGCTCTTCAAAGAAGACACCTGGGGAAGAGACCCTCATAGGCCCTGGAAGTAGGCTTGGACCTCTTGGACATAAAAGTCTAGGGTTCTAGCTGCCTAGAGGAAGAGCCACTTTATGTCTTTAGTGAACTCTTGTATTTGTGGCCCTCCTTTTCCATAAAATATATCACAAGTTACATCTTACAACTGTGTTGGTAAAGAAATGAATATATTGATATGATGTCAGATATGTTTTCAACTTAAAAGTTCATGCTTTCCTTCTGATTGTAAAAGAAACTTGAATGTTTTTATGGCCCCTAACAGTAACATGGACCCTTGGCAGTGCACCTATTGAATCTGCCTGCCTGGAGCTTAGTCTTGAAGGGGGAAGGAGAATGTGCTCTAATGTGGCCTAGAGATTCACTGCCTCATGAGAAGAGGCATAGCCAGAGCAGAGCCAGAATTCTGGACCCTTAAATCGCAGGGCTCAGATTTGGGGTCCCTCCTCCACAAGGCTAAGGGTGTTACCATTTCATCATAAACCCTGTGCACTCAAGTGGGCAGTGAATTTTATTATTATGAAGAATATTTAATTAATACTTGTTCTGATTTGTATTACTAAAGATCCCATTCTGGTGGCTCTCCCTCCGTAAGAGAACAGCTGGCCTTGAAAAGTGAAACAACTTCTAGGCAGTCAAAACAACAGCTTGCAACTTCTAAATAACGGCTTTTCCAGGTTCTTTGCTTCAGTGTTTTAAAATAAATAAATAAAGCTCAGGGTTTAGTTTGAGATTGAGAACTCTGTTGCACTATTTTTCCTGATTTATTAGACAACACAGAACTACCCAGGAAGGCCAGGAGAAAACTTTGGGCACATGTGGAGTTCTATGAACCACCTCTCCTACCTCTAGTGTATACAGGTTGGACTAGGTATTTAGTGTCATCTTCTGAAGTAGCTGTAGTTTGCTTCTCCTCCTCCCATTCAAATGCTTTAAGCTGCTCAGTACTTCTCTCTGGAAAAGATTGGGAGTGTGACTCCATCAGTTAGCAGAAGTCGGAGTGCCACAGGGCTGGGAGAGCTCAGAGCGGGAGCAGGAATGCCACCATTAGCCTGTGGGACTCTCCCGTTTTCACACCATCTTTCCACGTTCTACCCATTGTCGCACCTAAACAGCATTAATAACTACGACATCTTGTTTTCCTTCTCTGCTCCCACCCCACTCCATCCCTCCTAAATGGCTTTCAATCTTCCACCTCTTCTTCGTCTCAAAGCCTGTATCCCAGCTAAGGACCTTATCATCTCTTACCTGAACTCTTGCAATTGACCCATTCCTGGTTTATCTGACTCTGATCCTTCCTCTCCCTCCCTACATTTCCATATTAAATGGCAATAGGAGGGATCTTACATAGATATTTTTATCTGTGCTGCCAGGTACCTTTCCCAAACTGGAGTTTCAGGAAACCTTTCAGTAGATATTAAATATTTATTTTCTCTTGCCCCCATTGGTACAATCTTTCATTCTATTGTTTTTAGGTAGTGCAATAATTAAGTCTCTTCCCTCCCTCTGTCCAAAGACACTCTGTCTCATTTATTATATCTTATTTCATTTCATTTCATTTTTTGAGAAGGAGTCTCACTCTGTCACCCAGGCTGGAGTGCGGTGGCATGATTTCAGCTTACTGCAACCTCCACCTCCCGGGTTCAAGTGATTCTCCTACCTCAGCCTCCCGAATAGCTGGGATTACAGGTACCCACCATCATGCCTGGCTAATTTTTGTATTTTTAGTAAAGACAGGGTTTCACCATGTTGCCCAGGCTGGTCTCAAACTCCTGACCTCAAGTGATCCATCCACCTTGGCCTCCCAGAGTGCTGGGATTACAGGGATTACAGGTGCGAACCACCACACCCAGCCCACTCTGTCTCTTTTAATTTCAGTGAGGAAAAAAAGACCCCTCTTATAGCAAGAGGCATAGGCCCATCAAAGAATTTAATTACCCTTTACTTCCTATGAAATACAATCACAAAGCTATTTAGATATCATCAGCACTATGTTCAGCCCTCATCTGGAAATTTGAGACTTTGGTGGTAACATCACTAGAGTAGACACCCAGAGGGAGCCCATACCTACAGTTAGGTGTCTGTTGGGAATTCCCAGGCTGTCATTCAAGCTAACAGAAGGGACTCTTTTCATTATATTTCTTAAGGCAGGGTTTTGGGAAAGGGATGAGATCCATGACTTTTGTCCAATAGAAAGATCTATAAGATATTTTGTATTTAGTTCCTCCTGCAAAGCACCTGCTCATGATTTATTCCTCTTATTGAACATGCAAGTAACTAACAAGAAGGACTAAGAGAAGTCTATTACTCTCCGTTGTTCTGTAGTAAGCATGAAAACTAGTCACATAGTGTTGCAACGTTATCATCAGCACCTATTTGGAAGGTTTCTTGGGGATTCCCAAGCAACAATTATAAACACATTTCTGACTTTGCATTTAAATGTTCTATTTGCAAAGAGATAAATTAGAGGGTGAAATTGTTCACGCTACAGAAAGAGGCTTCACAATAGCAAAAGATCACAAGGATCCTTACTCAAGTCTTGTTTCCAGGTCACTAAATAATTCAGAGGAGAAAAATCTAAAATGGGAAGTGTTTTAAGCCACTGTTAATTACATATCCACCCATCAAAAATGAAATTGTAATGACAAAGGACATTAGTATGTCAATGGTTATAGTTTAGTTTACCTTTTACAATTTTTATTCCTTTAGACAGAAAGCTAAGCACTTGATAACCCTGTTAAATGTTTTTCATGCTCTCCCTTGCCTACCCAATATATAAGGAAGACATTTCATCCTGCATGTTCCTTTGACTTTTTTCTCTTTGCTCTCAGACCCACTCAAATGCTATTTTACCTTCAAACTCATTTCAGAACTATTTTCTTATCTTGCCTTGCTCTACACTCCACTCCCACCTATACCTAGTCCATCCTGCACACCCACCTGACCAACTCATACTCCTGCAAGACTCAGATTGGGCCTCAGATGTTCCATGGGTACTTTTCTGACTTCCTTTGGACTTACTGAAGTACCCTGTTGCACACTTCCTTTGTGCCTTCCATATACCTCTATTAGAGTACAGACAACATGGAACTCTTGGTAACCTCCCCAACAGATTACAAGTTTTTTGAGGGCCAGAGTTGCCTTCCTCGTTTCATAACCAGTGTGCAGGTGTTCAACACCTCCTCATGAATCCCTCCAGTTCAAATCCTGCCTCCTCCATGACATGTTATCCAATCTCAGTAGCCCAGAATACTCCCTTACATCCCTACTCTCTAAAACAAATTAAACTGCCATAGCACTTGTTTATATTTTGCTTTGTGAACAGCTCTTTTCAAGGAAATGTGCAACACACAGTCCTTATCTTTTAACCACAATGTTAGATACATCAAAATAGTTAGAATGGTATGGACACTCCTAGGATTGGACCCCACTAAATAGTGGCTATTTCATCAAGGTTTGTTCATCCTAATGAAATTAGTGTGAAAAAAGAAATAGCAGGATCTGGTATTGTGGATATATACTGTTTGCACAGCATCCTTGCTGTTGGGAGAAGGATTTCTATTATAACTTATGGCCTTGTGGCTTTTGTGGAATCATCAAATATTTTTCATGATTATATAACAATATTAAGTTTGAAAAAAGCAATTCCTAAAGGACAAAAGCAAACTAAAACAAGTAAACCCAACCAAACATTGTGCTGTGGCATAACCATACACAGAGACAAACTTCTAGTTGTCTTAAGAAGACAAAACTGACTATATATATATATATATATATATATACACACACATATATATATACTAGTGGGATTTGATTTTCCCTAATGATACTGAAAAATTCAAACTCTCTCTTTCTTTTCAGTAATCATATTATTGGTAGTGCTATTGGTATTGTTATTCTAAGGTTCATCTATTGGGAATTCTGTATTTTCAGCCTACAAAAAGAAAAAAACATATGTAACATAAATTAGATTAAGCAAAAATTCTAGTCTTAAATTTGCTGACATCAGGTCTGGGAAGGGAACGTACAATATACAAATGAGCCTGGATCTTCGTGTACCACAGAGAACAGATACCACCAAAGACCACTGAAAGTGTGTAAAAAGGACTGAGGAGCCATCTGAAGAAGCCTCTTAATGGCCACAGATGAGTCAATTTAAATATCAGTAAAGATAATGGCAACAGATTGAAAGGCATTGAATATATTTAAATTTCTTAGTTAATAATGACTATAGAAATAAAAACAATTGGCGACTTTTGACCAGCGAGTTATTTAACTATTTTGAAAACTAGCAAATAAAAAAGATTAAGCATTTATTCTGACTTTTCCATATGACCAACACTTCAAGTCCACCAAGTAATGTAGAAGAATTTTCTCTTTGTGGAAGGATTCCAGGTTACAAAGTTAACCACCATGGCATGTGTATACTTATGTAACAAACCTGCAACTCTGCATATGTACCCCAGAACTTAAAGTATAATAATAAAAAAGTAAAATAAAGAGTATGATAGAATTATAATATCATCTTTTTGCTACTCCTAATGATATAGTGTATTAAATAATAATCATCAATCACTGCTGACTTCACAAAAAGGGAGACAACCAGACATTTTATATGCCCTAATCGAGGCTCATAGCATCATTTATGAAGTTGACTTGCCAAATGAATCAAAACTGAATGTGACTGAGCCTCTAGATCCAACTAATAATTTGCAGAAAACACATGGGACAGAAAAGCAGGATACATGACACCACAAGGATCCAATTAGCAAATCCTGACAGTGGGAATTTCTACAGGGAAACAATGTGTTTAATAAACAAAAGAGTGGCTGGGCGTGGTGGCTCGTGCCTGTAATCCCAGCACTTTGGGAGGCCAAGGCGGGTGGTTATAAGGTCAAGAGTTCAAGATCAGCCTGAGCAACGTGGTGAAACCCCATCTTTACAACAAAGCGTTTTTGAAAAAGATACTGAACAGCTAATAGAGTATTAGAAGTGCTAGAAAACAAAAGCATAAGATCCAACTTCTAGGAATAATGCAAAATTAAGTCTCCGAAACACTTTCATAAGGAAAACCCTGCAGCCACCAGTAGCATCATTGGACTTATCTGCTTTTACAGCAGAAAGAGAGACAGACAGACAAACAAAGAGCCACTGCCAGTGAGCACAAGCATACTCTCCACTCATTCCCTCTCAGACACTTTTAAGGAAAAATCTGGAGCAGATGCCTGTGGTTATCAGAGCCTTTGCCATAGCTTCAAGGGAGTCTGGGAAAGAGGAGAAAGTGAGCATCTAGTATTTTCTGTTCCAATTACAAGAGGTTTCCTGTCCCATCCCCACTGCAAAGAATCAAAATGAGAGCAATTCCAAAATTACAGAAAAGAATTCAGACATCAAAAAGCCAAACTGAATGAACAATATTTACCTCCTTGGGCAAGTAGCAATCTCCCTGAGTTTTAGTTTCCTCATCTGGCAAATGATTAAACAACACCATTCTCCCAAGACTGCTTTGAGGAGTGAAAGCAATAAAGTGTCTATTAAACAGCACAGAAGATCACCTAGCAAACTTTCCTTCCACCCTCTCTCTGCTTTTTCCCCCGCTCCCCTTCCTTTCATTTAACTTCCTAACTCATTTAAGTTCCTACCTCCTTTGTGTATTCAGAATAATATTCTATTTACTTAAGGGACACAAAGTAAATAAATGTTTTTGAAACTGAATGGGATTGAATTGGATCCAGATTTTCATAGGAAAAAAAGTTTCCCTTCTTCTTAGTCCTTACACACCTGGTTTTGCAGGAAAAGAAATTAGCATTTGGAAACACACAGCCACAGGTGAGATACTAGTGCATTCCCGCGTCTCAAATCCTCAATCTTTGGTCAGTATGATGGGAAGTTTCATTGTCCAATAAAGCAAGGGACAGACGCTTTGTTTCGTTCAAGTTAAGTATTTCTTCTAACAGAAGCCCACCCCAGGATGAAACAGCCCTGCATCTCCAGCAGCCTCTGGAGAGTCAGGTGGCCCTTCAGCCTTTGAATGGCATGGACTGAATTGACTCAACCACGGTTAGCTGACTTTTATTTCTTTTCTTCCTTCCTGCTCATTCAATATCATCAACCAGAGAGAAGGAGCTCTGTGTCATAAAAGCGACCACAGCTGAGCAGATCTCTCCCTATGCCAGTCCACGTGGTAATTTTGGAAGGGCCCTGGGATATATGACTTTAGGACTATAGGAAAGTTTTGTGATTAATGGTGGTTTTATCTTCAGACTTCAAACATTGACTCATGCAGGGAATGAGCAATCTATAGGTCAGATATCCTACATCCCAGTCATTTTCTTTCTTCAGTCAAGAATTTAGAGAACTAAACACCGACCAGCTGTAAAAGACATCTATCCTGTCTGCAGAAAAGCCTATTTAATGGGCCCCTGAGGGGAATTGTTTAAAATAATGCTATGCAATTTCTCCAAGAGTTTCTGCTGGAAAAAAAAAATAGAACAAATGGAAAATTTAATGCCTAAGTGATCGATACTTTATTCATGAAGCAAGGTTATTCTCTTGCCTTTTTCTCTTGTTGATGAGGTACTTTGTAGGCACTTTAAGTGAAAAATGCCTACCTTTTATTCAGCAATTTATCAGATATTTATTGTGGGTTTTCTTATAAGATACTCTACAGGCCTACGGGGTTGTAAGGGTAGAAATAAATGGTGCCCAGCACTGAAAGATTTTAATAATGTTAGCAATGCCAATCACAACCCCTAATGCATCCACTACGATTTACTTTTTACAGTGCTTTAGTATGTTCTAAGTCATTTTCATAATCTTATAATTTATTACAATGAGAAAACTTTTTCAAGATCATTTTACTAATATATTTTATTTCACCTCATCTTCCAGTTGATAATGTAAGATGCTTAACCCATCGTGTGCCCGGAAGTACACTAAGTCCTTTGACGATAGGCTCTTGGAAACTGGGACTTCAAATGAAATGACATATAACAAAAACAGCTTTACCATAGGCTAATTGATCTAAATAAGAGTTAAGTTGCTACAGCATATTTCTGGTCACACACACACAAAATCACCAAACTTCTAAATAAAGATCCAAACACTTTTAATATTGAAATAAATATCAAAATAACTTTGAAATGAATATGAGTTACACATACATTTAAGAAAGTTAACAAAAACAAGATAATCATCTACCCACTTATTCAAGTTCAGGAGCTCAAGTGGCCAGAGCCAATTCTGGTAGCTCAGGGTACCAGGCTGGAACCAGCCCCAGACAGGCCACCTTTCCCATTGCAGGGCACACTCATACACACCGACACTCACTCACACTGGGACCAGTGAGACACACTGATTCATCAAACGGACACAGCTTTGGGTTTTGGGAGGAAACCAGACATGGAGAGGACTTGCAAAGTCCATATACACAATGACTTCAGCTAGGAATTCATTTTGTTTCTCATCAACATTATAAGGAAATGACATTGAACTTACATGACATTATTTAAGAACCTGCTGTGTAAGCTCAGGAAATAGTAGAACCCCTCCTCCCCACCCAGATACCTTGTTCCATTAGGTATAATGAATTTAAAACTGCATTTGCATGTTCACATCAAGCATTTGTCACATAGCTGCTTTCTATTTTGTGTAGCCATGAGGATTTCATAGCTTAATAATCTAAACAACAACTGCCTATTTTATGTTGACCTTGCTTCCTCTTTCCTTTGTGTACACAGGTAGAAAAGACTTGGACTACATATTTGGTTTGAAGTTTGAAAATCTGAATCTTTCCCCAACCATCAAAAATATTTACCTCCCTTCCTTGTCGCACAATCATCTAAGCAGCCTTCTTGAATTGACTCCCACACCTGTTCATCATAGAAGGAAAAAAATAAAAGCAAATGCCGTATAAAATCCCTTCTTCAACTGGGTCTTCTGTTTTGAAATACTGAAACAGTTCCTGTTCTATTATCTCACCAGCTGTGGCCTTTTATCTCCTAAAGGGAATAATTGACGTCTTACCAGTCAAAGTCACTGTGCTTATGGAGGCCATAAATATCTCCTCTAAATCCTACATGATAAATTTCCCTCTGATTGGTAAAGCAGATACTGTAACGTGCAAGGGGGAAGCGGGAGAGGCTTTGATGATGCTAAACTAAGCCCCTGGAGATATCCCAGCCCTTCCTCCAGAATTTTACTTTCCAACAACTGGAGTCACAAACACGGTAGAAAATGTTCTCTGGATTATCCACTCCTATTAATTTTTTTAAAACTGGTTTTCAATGATGGGCAACCTAAAATTTACTTACACAGAACACGAAACAGCTGAATTTGTTAAAGGTCCAAATGGGAACGTGCTTCTTGTACAAATCACAATATGCTTTCTAGACCACAATCTGAAAAGGAAAGAAAAAAAATCCTGTGAATAAAAAATAAAACAAGGTATTTTTCAGTTTTGTACATGCATTTGAAATGATTTTATCTCTGACTCATGTTCTACTTTATTTTTGATTCTTGGGAAGACCTATCCCTATACTGTAATTTTTTGTTTTAATAACAAATTTCCATTTGTAACTATTAGTTGGTCTTTCCACAAAATTGGTTTGCTGGAAAGGACTGAGAAGAGAAACAACATTCCTGGATCAGATGGAACTGGTGAGTGTGGAAGTCCTTGAACTTGACCAAGCATTGTCAGTTCTCATAGTCTGACCGAAAAAAAAGAAAAAAAAAAATAGATTTTTCTGTGTGTTTTTCTTGGTGCTCCTAATGTAAGTTTTTTCAAATGGGAAAAAATAGATAAGTAGACTGTAATTGTAAGAGAAAAAAGGTAAAACTATTTTGGTGTTTTGTATTACTTGGAACTTTACTTATTGTAGGATATAGATTTAAGATAGTGTTTTGTTTTGTTTCATTTTTATAAGCAAGAGATAGTCTTTATAATCTGTGGAATTGGGGTATAATATAAATAACAACAAACCCAAAAAGTGGGCAAAGAGACATCCACCTTGACGCTCAATCCTTTTCATGCCAACCCCACAGACAGCCAAGAAGCACTTTGACAATGGGAAGAAAGGAACTAAAGCTAGAAGATAAATGTAGCCGCTTTGGGGCTGCTACAGCAAAGAAGTTAAAAGTGTCTGCCTATTTACCTTGGGATCTGAATGATCCATTTCTGTAAGTGGGCTAAACCCCATCACCAATTTAATCCATGCCCCCAAAACACATATTCCCTGGCGATCCCACCTTAAACAGAATAAGACAGACAGGTTACTGTATATTTCACTAAGCATTCGAATTTATTGAAGTCTGCACTTTGCTCAGATAAAGGGTTTGTGGTCTTGTTCACTGCTCCTAGCTGGGAGATGGAGTGTGTTGCTCAGTTAATATAGCATGTCCTCTGTATATTCTCCTGTAACAACTGGACACTGTTTTCCTTGGCCAGAGGGGCTGAGTTGTATTCATTGGCTCAAGGGCTCTAAGGTGCTGAGTGGAATATTTCATGTTTATTGCCTCTTAATGGACTACTACTGAGGACTGAGGAACACAAAGTATAAGCCATTCATGCTCAGTCAAGCCTCCTTGGAGGATGCGGAATTCCCCCTGTGATCGCTGCCACCCTGCTGATTCAACCATCACTCAGACTGCCATCAGAGGTTACTGGCTTTAGGCTGTAAGTTACAGGAAACCTTTCAGCCTCTACTTGGTTATTTATAGAGGAGTTTATAGGATTCTTCCACAACTTGAGGGAGGAAAATCAAACAAATGTCACCTCCTATTATCGTGGCAACTAAGTTCCACTCTGAAAATAGAAGCTGGAACTTTAACCTGTTAACTAGTAAACCAATCCACTGGTATATTTATGTTTTAGCAATACTTTTTACATTAAAAAAAATATTTCAAATCTTTACCCCTCTCGGGAATTTTCCCTCATTAGGCTCACTCTTATTTGCACTATTTGACACCTCTGCATTGGGCTAATGCTTTAATAATGGACTTCAAGTGCATGAAATTTGATTATTTATTATTTCTTTCTTTCCTTTCTTTATTCCTTCTTACTTTTACTTCTTTCCCCCTCTCTCTCTGTTTCTCAGTCTCTCTCTCTCTCTGTCTTTCAGCTTTCACAAATGCTAATATAAAACTTATTACATACCAGGCATTATTCTAAGAATTTCAACCTTATAACAACCCTAGGAGACTAAGTAGTGTTATTAATTCCATTTTAAAAGTAAGAAGACTTGATTTTTGATATACTATCATCACTGGTCTAATCATGACTCTATTTTATTTCATTTCCCCATTATATTCCCTGGCTTATTACTTTGTTAGTGATAAAAACCAACTACCCAACCCAAGAATTTGAACGTGAGCAATGCTTGCACCTATCTATCCAATCTTCCCCATCCCATTACCCTCCTGCATAACCCTGACATGCTGAATTTTGTATATTATTTTCTTTCATTTTTTTAAAAGATAATTTTAGCAAATATATGTTGGCTCAAAAATGTTATTGCTTATAAAATCATGCTGTGATCATCTGAGAAATTGCTATTACTAAGCATCATATTATCGCATATACCTGTAGTTCATTTATTTTCATTGCAGTAAGTTATTCCAGATATATTACAATTTGTTTCCCTCTTGATAGGCATTTGCTATCTGCTCTTGTTATAAACAGTGCTTTTATGAACACTTTTAAGTGTTACTCTGGGTACACAAATGTAATAATTTCCTTTAGCATACACATCTAGAAAATTGTTGGGTCAGAGGGTGTGTGAATATTAAACCTTAAAAGATAATGTGAAGTGGTTAACCAATTTATACTAGCACTATGTAAGAAACATGGTTGATCCATATACTTTTCGATTTTTTTTGTAGTTTAAATTCTTAATTATTGCCAATAAATTGAATATAAAGAGATATCCATTATAGTCTTGATTTGCTATTCTACATATTGATTTGCTCATTAATATTGCTATAAGACTCAAGATCCTTCCATATATTTTTAACTGTATGTGTTTCTCCTTCTCTTTTTCCTCTGTAAAATGTTTACTGTTAATTTTTCTTTGGTCTGTAGCACTGTTTGACCTTTCCTTTATTATTTTATGTGTCTTTATATATACTTGATACTAAACCTTTCTCAATTATGTGTTCCAAATAAATTTTTTTCAGGTTGTAGCTTGCTTTTTCATCTTCTTTAAGAATTCATCTGATGAACAGAATTTCTTAATTTTAATAGTCAATAATCAAAAATCTTTTATGGATTGTATCTTTTGTGCCTGTTTAAGAAATCCTTCCCTACCCCAAGATTGGAAAGATATCCACCTATATTTTTCTAAGTGTTTAAAATTTGCTTTTGACATTTAAGTCTCTAATCCATCTGGAGTTGATTTATGGGTATGGTGTAAGGGTGGGATACAAATTCATTTTTTTCCAAATGGACAACCAATTTTTCCACCTCCTTTTATTGAATAATCCCTCTTTTCTCCACTGAAATGCCAGGCCATCTCTGTCCTCATTAAAGTTCCACATATGTATGAATTTATTTCTGGGCTTTCTATTCTGTTCCATTGGTTCATTTGTCTACACCTGCAGGGTGGTAGTTTGGTAAGAGCACAGTACTTAGTCAAAAGTACTGGTCATTTATAACTACGGGGACTTGAGTAGGTCATCTGACCATTCTGTTCAGTTTTCTCTTTCATAACACTTGGATAACAATTTCCTTCCTCATGAGAATGCTGTGAAGACTAAAGGGAAATCTGTGATACTGTTTTTTAACCTATAAAATTCTTTGAAATATTTTAGGTTGTTTCATAAACATTCTCAAAGTGGTTTTTTTTTTTTTTTTTTTTTTTTTTTTTTTTTTAAATTTTTTTTTTTTTTAACAAAAAAACCCTGACTTGAACTGGCTTTAAAAATAAAAAATTAATGGCCCAAGTAACTTAAATATTCAGGTGGTAGGGCCTGCCTTAAACGAGGCTTTAAACATTTTTTTTCCCTCCCTTCCCTGATTCCTGTGGTGTCACCTTTATTTTGAGACCTTATGGTCGCACTGTGTCTGTGAGTAGCTTCTGGGGCTGCATGAATCGATGTTCACATCCAGCTTTAAAACAACCCTCTCTAGGTAGCTCCCAGAGAAGAAGGAGGAAACTTCTTCCCCAGACATCCTGGCCAGAGCTCTCTGACTCATGCTGTTCAGCATTCATTTGGGGCATGTGCTCCGTCCTTCTCTAGGCACTGGGCAGACAGGATAGGATCTGCGGCTGAACTTCCTTCTTCTAAAGCTTAGGAACTGTGCGCAGAGGGTTGAAAATCTGATTCTTATTACTGAAAAGAAGCAGCGAACGAATTCTGGGGGATAAGGGGTAGCACCCATAGCAAATGGACATTACATTTTAATTTTAATTTTTGAACAAAAGAACAAAGTATATGGTGACAGATCAAGTAGTGCTGAAGAGTTTACGGGGAGAAAAGCAACCACCACTCTAACACCAATCTTAACTCCTAGAGGAAAATATTTTTAACTCAGTCTTCTCTGGACTCTCCCACTGGACTGCTGTCCTAACTCTTTAACAATTTAGACCGAATTTCTTTATGAATTCAGTTTTATTCATGCCAGTGCGCTTCTACTTCTCCATCCTCACCACTCGCTCTTTTCAAAGTTTGATGGTAATGCTGTTATTTTAAAATATTTTACTGTTTACCTTTGTGACTTTAAATAATATACCTGTATTTCTTTTCCCATCTATTTTAATTAGTATCTCAACCTTCTTCTCTGAAGAATTTTAGCTAGCTTTTCCAACTCCTCTACCAGTTCCTTGTTCGTTTCCTCTGTCATGTGCATCTGTCTTTTGCAATGTCAAGATTGTGAACATTCATATTGTGTCCCTCAACAATAAATGAGGCCTTCCTGCTCTTTACATATTATAAGTTGAATTTGCAAAACTAGTTCACCATTGGCTCAAGTTTTGCGCTAACATAACATTTCCTTTCCTGTGGGTTACTCAAAGCAGACCCCTACACCACTCAAAGTAAAATGTCCTTTTGCAGCAAGGCTAAATAGAATCTGTTCTATTTTACTTTTTCAATTATGTTTTTAATTTCTGTGTTATTTGCATAATAACTTTCTCCAACACATTTCAGTTTTGGGACACTATTTCATATTTTTTTTCTTTTGTCCTCCTACATGAAACTGGAGTGTTTTCTCTTTGAGTCTGTTTTGTAGCAGTCATTTTGCAACTCCCCTTTTCTGCTGTCCTATGTTGGAGCCAGGATCCTCAGAACCTCACGTTTCCCAGTTTTTGTTTCTTTCCTCCTGTTGCTTAACTATATCTTCAATTAACTTCCTTAAAGAGTACGATTAAAAGCTAAACATTACCCTCCCTTGCCTGTCAGGAAAAATAATAAAATTTATTTTGTTCTCACTGCTGATTGATAAGCTGGCTCAGAGCCGTGAGGGAACTTTGCTTCATTTTCCTGTAATATCCAATTGTTTATGAGAAGTCTGACATTTATATGAACCTTATTCCTTTACATATGGCTTTTCATGTCCAGAAGATTTTATAACATGCCTTGATCCTAGATACATTATAATTTAATCAGAATCTTTTATATTGCTGATTTTGGGTTCATCTTGCTTAACAGTGAACCCCTTCCATCTGAATATTCTGGGAAGCCTCTTGTGACAGTAAAAACCAATCCCCTTCCCCTGTTTTTACCACTCTTTTTTTAGGTGTCATAGGTGTAGGTGAGTTTGGAAACTGCTTTGGTTTAAAATGTCCCCTCCAAAACTTATATTGAAGTTCGATTGCCAGTGTGGCGGCATTAATAGGTGGGACCTTTAAGAGGTGATTAGGTCATAGGGCAAGAATGGATTAAAGCCATTATGACAGTAGTAGGTTAGTTATCTTAGAAGTTCACCCCTTTTTCCTCTCTGTCTCCCGTGCTCCCTTGCCTGGCTGCTTTCCTTCATGGGATGACACAAAAATAAGGCCCTCACCAGATGGCTGAGCAGATGTCAGTGCCATGCCCTTGGACTTCCCAGTCTCCAGAACCATAAGCACA